TTATAGGAGCTTATGCTATTGATCGCAAACTTTTTTTGATGTGTGTAGATAAAAAATCTGTCTCAGCCACTTTTTAGCAAAAATTTTTATTTTTTGCTAAATTTAAAAATTGGCTGAGAGATTTTTTATTATGCCTGAAATAAAAAGATATAATTTTTTTAATGAAAGTGGCGCTAGTGCTGCGAGCAAAACCAGGTAGGTGCGGCCTCTTAATTTGCACCTGTATTTTATAAATTAGTTTCATCTGCCCGGTGAGTCTGTCCCGGTAGATGGAACTAATTATATTTTCTAAGTACTTAAAAATAATTAACTATAAAAAAAATTTACTCACCTCAATGTCATTGCAGGACGTTCAACAGATGGTATGCTTTTTCTCATCGCCGTGTCTTTTTTTTGCAACTCACTATTCAGTTCGTTTAACAAGTAGTCAAATGTATTCTTGTTCATTCTAAATTTTTATAAAATTTCTTCTTGAACCTTCGAAGTTTAGGATAATCAGTACGAAATTGGCTTTGACTTTTGTTTTCCAATAAAGGATGTACCCGATAAATTCTATTTCGACGAATACGCTGATGTCGTCGTCTTCTTCTTATTAATAAAAGCCATAACAAGGATAGCAACAACAATCTTTCCTCAATGACTACGTTCAGTCAAGCCGTGTTTCCTCTACGAAAGCCGGAGTATAACTGCACATGACCACGTGGTTACCACATCGCAACGACAGCGACAACGCAACCACATCGACATTTTGTCGGTACCACAACGCAACTGCAAAAAGCCGCTGCGACACTATTCACACGTAACCACAGCTTGACCACATTTTGTCGCTGCGACGTGGTGTGGTTGTGGTACGTGTGAATTGACCCATAGTGAGTCGTCTTACGACACTACTTTAGAACCGCGCGACTGGGTGCGTCGCCTTCGGCCGCAAATTATTCTGCTGAAGGTTGGCAGACGACCCGGTGTAAATGCACCATAATGTTGTCGACGTGACTAGAGGAAAAAATAAAAGAAACGTGTACTGCTAACAGCTAAACGAAACAAAGAGAATTTAAGCACTACGTTTACTATAAATTACCAAATTTTCCGAAAAATGTCAAATAGTGGAAATTTTTCCGAATAAATTCCCGCAAAAGTGGAAAATATCATTTCGGAGGTTCATATTACGTTCTAATTTTATAAATATCTTTAATATCTTTTGTAGTTTTATTTAGCGTGAATTATAAAATATACATGTATACCTAAAAGCCAGAGAAACGAGACTTAATAGAATGATTTCACAACAGCGAAAAAAACTTTCATATAATGGCCCCATCGTTTTCGTTCAGGAACGTTAACTTTTGACAAGGTGTCAACGTCAAATGTGGAAATTAAAGGGAAAATATACGCAAAAATATTTATTTTTCTGAAAAATGGACTTTTTTCCAAATGGAGATTTTTTCCATGGCCACTCTAAAACCAACGCCATCATCATGTCACCGTGTAATTATAAACACGGAGTTACAGCCGTTAAAAAAAAGTTGACCGCCACAAGCCGACGCCATCTCTCTTTTCTGTCATTTTATATCGGATTTTCTTTTCGCGCCCGGCGAGGGTTTGTCGTGTTTTCGTTTTGAATTAATTTGATATAATAAAAATTGTGTTCGTTTATGGCTTGTACATAAATTTACTAAAATGTCGCAGTCCGAAGAAGCTATGGATGTACCCGACATCGGTGATAATTCCGTATGTAACCAAATATTTTTTATGGTCCAAATAGCCACAAGTAATGTATTATTTATAATATTGATTTTGTTATTTAAAATTGTGTGGGATACTTTCATTACATTTACCTAATAGTTTATGAAGTCATGTATGTTATACGTTTTGTAATTGTTGCGCTGTATTTCGCAGAATGGCTCGTCAAGCGACACCACGTCGTCGAGGGGCAAAGAAGGGGACTTTGAAAGCAAAATTGAAACGGATCGCTCTAAGCGCTTTGATTTTCTTTTAAAACAGACCGAAATATTCTCGCATTTCATGACAAGTGCTCCTAAATCTAACAGCCCCCCTAAAGCTAAAGCTGGGAGACCGAAAAAAATAGTTAAAGAGGAATCTGGAGCAGCTGGAGAGTAAGTGAATCTATTGATTTTTGTGATAAAAGCTCAGCTGGATATGTTTCTCATTAAAAGCTGTTTCAGTCATCGCCATCGCAAAACAGAGCAAGAGGAAGATGAAGAGCTCCTTGCAGAGACTAACACTAAACAAAAGACTATATTTCGTTTTGAATCATCTCCTCCATACATTAAGAATGGGGAAATGCGTGACTATCAAGTCAGGGGTCTAAATTGGATGATTTCTCTTTATGAAAATGGAATCAATGGCATTTTAGCTGATGAGATGGGTCTTGGCAAAACTCTGCAAACAATATCTCTTCTTGGATATATGAAGAATTTCAAGTAAGCATATTGTGTTGATTCATTTTAATTTGATGTCTTACATGTGTTTTGTTTATTAACGAAATTGTATTTTTGATAGAAATGTTCCAGGGCCACATATTGTCATAGTGCCAAAATCTACTCTAACAAATTGGATGAATGAATTTAAAAAATGGTGTCCATCTATAAGAGCAGTTTGTCTGATTGGAGATCAAGAAACAAGGGTAAGGCTAATTTGTTTGCAAATGAAAGTTTAATAAGTTTTTGGCACATTCCTTTTAATTGTTCCAACTTTTGTTTGCAGAACACATTCATCCGCGAGACTCTAATGCCTGGAAATTGGGATGTTTGCATCACCTCATATGAGATGATCATTAGAGAAAGATCTGTATTTAAGAAGTTTAACTGGCGTTATATGGTTATTGATGAAGCTCATCGCATCAAGAATGAGAAGTCTAAGCTCTCTGAACTACTTCGTGAATTCAAAAGTGCCAATAGGCTACTGCTTACTGGTACTCCACTGCAAAATAATCTTCATGAATTGTGGGCTCTGCTGAACTTTCTTTTACCTGATGTGTTTAACAGTGCTGATGTAAGTATGTTACAGTGATCTGTGACCGTCACATGGAGGTATATCACGTGCAATATGTAATAAACCTCCCTGTGACACATTTATTTCAGTTGGTAAAGCTGTTTTCATAACTAAATTTTTTTTATTGTGAATTCTGAATTGGTCAGATACTGCACTAGAGGCATTCGTTCTTTAGTTTATTCGGTAATTAGTTATGGTTACATTTTTTTGATGAATGAAATTGCCTATATGCTATCTTTGTTGTTTAATCGTCGCCACGAAAACAACAACACAAAAAATGCCAGGTTTTGTAGTTTCACTTTTTACATATTTTACATTATATTAATTATTATTCATGTACTTCTATTACTTGCTTGTATTATAAACAATTTGTTTGTGTATTTCTGTTTATGTCGTTTGTCGCGCTTAATCTTTACATTGATAAAATTACTGTGCAGAACTCAAAAATTTTTAAAATCAGATTTTAAAACTTCGTGCTTGGAATTGCGATATTCTTTTGCGGCCATTGGTTGCTGCGCGCGAGGTGCGACAAAAATGTGACATCACGGTGCTCGCCACAGACCACATAAATACTAGTAATAGACTGGTTAGTGGGCGGAGTCCGTGTTACCTAGCTTATCACTAGACGGGCATATGAGTGTCAACAGCGCGTCAGTCGTTCAAATGTGATAAATGATTATTTTGTGGAAAAAATAGAAATATGCCATATTATGTCGCGTAAGAAGCTAAAGTTTAAAAAATACTCCAGGAGTGATTTCCTTCTGTCGGTAAGTACTAAAAGCCTGTATTTTCTAATATTTTGAACTATACAATTATTATACAATACTATAATTTCGAAACGAAACTATTTTCTTGCCATTCGGTAATAACAATATACATTGGTTGCTAGCATCGCCACCGTCAAAAGAACAATTCGAATGACGCTCTGTGAATTGCTTGCACTAGTGTCGTATTACACTTGGTACTGGGTCCGCGTGTTGTAATCAAATTATCGATATGTAGAAACTCTGTATTTAGAAACTCGGTTTTGGTTTACGATTCGAACAAACGATTCGCTTCTTCGCCTTCGGATATAAGTATCTTCATTTTCTTGACAAGCTCGTCGACGCTATAGGTATAGTCATGTTCAGTTAGTTCAGAAAGAGGTAATTGTTGACCAAATATATCATATTTCAGGGAGAATAAAGATTTTATGATGACTGTGTTTTAATATTTCAACCCTTCCAGTGATCGGATTGACTTGAAATCTAGTAGGTTAATGAAAGTACGATGACAGTATAATAAATCATTAATACTGTGATTGTAGCATGTAGCTACGTATAGGCACGCACACGCCTGCGTAGGTTATATCAATTAATATTTGCGTGTAGTAAAGCCTTATGCGTATTTGGTAACAAATGAGTGCGTGTAAAAGTCAGCTACTCTAGTTCTCGAAAAAATGGCTTTAAATGCCGTTTCCATATACTCCATGGTTAACCCTAATCATCGAGTACATAACCAGAAATAGAGACGAAATAAGGGTTATATATTCCTGGTAACACATTAGCGATACAGGTCTTATAAATATCAACTCTCGTTTGCACTGAAGTATAGACAGGCCAACTACTGACCTGTGTGTACGTGTTCGTATATTCCAAAAAATATTCTGTATTTATTGTAATAAAGATAATATCTCTAACAAAGCCGTGCTGTTCTATTCGGTGGTGTGGGAAAAACAGCAAAACATCTAATTACAAAACAAACGCCATCACGTTTCATCGGTAATTATATATTACATATGTAATTTTGCAATTTTCGTCCATTATAGCAAAGCTCAAGTTAACTGGTCAATTGGAAGTGAAACAGTTGACGACACCCGTCAATTGTTTCGAACTCGGGCTAGCGAATCGGAGCGCAGTTGTCACAGTAATGATATTGCAAAATAGTTTTCAAATAAATTAAATGACATTTCGTCTTTATTTCTGGTTATATACTCGATGACTAATTATAGCAAGTGTGAAGCAATGCCTAGTTCAATATTCCGCTAGTTATGAAACATAATGTCGATATCAATTAAATGTCACATCCCTATCTGTAGATTGTCAACTTTTTGCTTTTGTTCCAAGAAGTTTGTGTTCATAAGATTCTTAGCTTTTAAGTGACTAGTAATAATAAAACCTTATTAGATCCAAATAAGTTTCATTATTGTTTATTTTCGTTTGATAATTTATAACCAATCAAAATTATGTTATCTTAGGACTAATGTAAGATTACGTTTTCAAATGTGTGCGTGTTTTGATACAAATGTTACTTGATGCCATTTCCATTTTTTTTTTCTTCCGTGGTGCTCGCCATATTAGGTATTGTGATAAAATTTTGAAATGTCGGTTTCATAACTGAAATATGTGAACGAAGCTAAGCTAACTTCGCTCATGTAGCAATCAATCAATTTCTCAATATCAATACTTTGTGTTGTATTATAAGCTAAGCTTCAGAGTCCGATAAAATAAAAATCACATCACCATCATACATAATTTATATTTTGTTAACAGGATTTTGATGCCTGGTTCAATACAAATGCAGCCCTTGGTGACAACCAACTAGTGTCGCGGTTGCATGCAGTTCTTAGACCATTTTTACTTCGCCGTTTGAAATCCGAAGTAGAAAAGAAACTAAAACCCAAAAAGGAACTCAAAGTCTATGTTGGTTTGAGTAAAATGCAGAGGGAATGGTACACCAAAGTTCTCATGAAGGACATTGATATTGGTAAGTGATGTATATAATAAAATCAATAATAATAAAATTTGCAACAATTAAACCTCTCGAAATAGCTAAATTGTATCTATGTAACTGAAAATTGCGGATAAAACTGTGTTTTTTGCAGTAAATGGTGCTGGCAAAGTAGAAAAAATGCGCTTACAAAACATCCTTATGCAGTTGCGTAAATGCTGTAACCACCCTTACCTATTTGACGGTGCCGAGCCGGGCCCGCCTTACACCACTGATGAACATTTAGTGTACAATTGTGGCAAACTTGCCATACTCGACAAGTTGCTGCCAAAACTGCGTGAACAGGATTCAAGAGTGCTCATTTTTTCACAAATGACCAGAATGTTGGACATTTTGGAAGATTACTGTCTTTGGAGGCAGTATAAGGTAAATAGCATCAGTTTTTAATTATTTATTTTACAATTACAATATGAAAACAACTGAAATGCAAATCTTCATTTCAGTATTGCCGTTTGGATGGTCAAACACCTCATGAGGATAGAAATCGACAAATTGAGGAATATAATGCTGAGGGAAGTGAGAAATTCGTTTTCATGCTTTCGACTCGTGCAGGTGGTCTTGGCATCAACCTGACTTCTGCTGACGTCGTCATCATTTATGACTCTGATTGGAACCCTCAAATGGACTTGCAAGCAATGGACCGAGCTCATCGAATTGGACAAATGAAACAAGTATGGCTGATTCAACTATTTTTTATTTATATATTTTCTTTTTTTGCCAACATGCCATCGGTCTTATGTGAGAATTTTTTAAATTTATTTTGGCATGTCAGGCATATCCATCCAATGTTGGGTTGCCTTTATGTGGAAAACTATTCAGCTCAGTTAGTTGAATCCCAAATGTGTTTATGCTTCAATCTTCTCATCCGTGGTGGTACACACAATGCGCTAGCTAGTTTATTAGTATGAGTGGCTATTCTTTCTTTATAGGACTTAGTTAGTCTAGTTATTTCCTCATTAATTGTAGGCATTTTAAGATATTCGTGGATCTCTTGTATTTTAGTGAACCATGGAGTGTTTATGTTTATGGACTTAAGAATACTGTTTTGGTATCGTTGCAGAATTTCAATGTTTGACTGACTAACAGTTCCCCAAAGATCAAACCTGTAGGTCCAAATTGGTTTCAGAACTGCTTTATAGATTGTTAGTTTATTTTCTAGAGATGCTTTAGACCTTCTACCCAGTAGCCACTCCAAGCATCTGGGTCTGTAATTGAATTCATCACGTTTCTTTTGGATGTGGATTTTCCATGTTAGTCTCCGATCGATGAAGAACCCCAAGGTACTTTACTTGTGTTATGTGGGAGAGTATGTGTCAAGGTAAAGGTGACATGTGTGGAATTTACTGCACTTGCCTTGATCCGCCAGGATGATATCTACGCATGTACCTTATCCAGGTGCATTTGTAATTTTCGTGACGCTTCGTCAGGATCGGCATCAGAGCTTAAAATTGCTGTGTAGTAAGCGAATGTGAAAAAAAATAAATTATTATTATTATTAATGTGGCTGTAATTACATTGTCAGACTCGGGTACAAATGATGTATATACGAAGTACAGAGTCGGCCCTAACACGGAACCTTGAGGAACTCCTGCTTAGATCTCATAGAGATTTGATATCGCGTCGTTTATTTTGACATAGAATATGCGATTTTCTAAGTACGAGTTCATAAGAAGATATAAATTATTTGGTAGTAGCAAGCCATTTAGTTTGTAGTAGCGCCAGACTTTGTCGAAAGCGTACTGTACATCCAAAAACACCTCTACTACTACTTACTACGTACTACTTCTTTGCTTCAACGCATCTCGCAAGTGTCACAAACTCTATGTAATTGTTCAACTGTTGCATGGTTCCTCCGAAATCCAAACTTGTGTTCTGGGATAACAGAATCATTAAGTAGAACTTCGTTAAGACGATTAGAGATAATGTTTTCAAATACTTTTGACAATACAGGAAGTAAACTTATAGGTCTGTACGAAGACGTTAAATGTTGTGGTTTTCCTGGTTTAGGAATCATTATAATCTGTGAAATTTTCCACAAGCCAGGATAATAAGAAGTTCTTCATTTGGCACTAAAGAGTGAGGTTATATAGACTATTACATTTTTAGTTAAGTTTCTCAGTATCTTTGCTGTTATGGGGTCAAATCCCGGAGCTTTCCTTAGTTCTAACTGCATGATAGTCCGACGAACCTCAGCAGGTGTACAACATCGGAGCGTAGGGCTGGGTTGAAGTTTACTTTTCAGAACCAAATTCACCTCTAAATCGATACTATCTATCCCAAGATCTTTGTTGAGCGTAAAGACGTTGCTCAAAAATAGTCCATAGGCTTCTGCTCTGTCGTCATTCTTAAGTGGATGTTGCGCCAGTTGAGGTTTCTCGCAAGACTTGATTGTTTTCCACAACGAGTACGTTTTTAGTTGGTTTTGTAAGTGCAACTTTAGTGTATCATTCCCTATTTCATCAAGGATTTTTTTCAACTGTGCTGCTGCTTTATTAAATTTCCTTTTGACTTCTGGATGTTGACTACAATGCCACACTCGTCTAAAGTCTTCGCTTTTCAAGTACTTTTCGCTTTACAATCTGTGTTATGTTAGAGTGCATACCTATTTCAACATGAGCGGAGTTATTGACTGGTGGTGTACTTAGCCATCCTGCGTTTTGTATGCTTTCGGTTAAATACTCAGTAGCACTGTCGCTTTCGTCATCATTTTTAAGACTCATTTTGATTGTTTTTTTAGTACTGTTGAAAGCTCTGCCACTCCGTATATTTATTGTACAGGTAAGGCTACAGGTATAGGACGTCCAATTATAATTGTGCTTACAGTAGCGATAATTAGGGTGTGGTCAGAAGGGGTGTCATAACAGCAACTTTAAGAAAATACGATTGCACCTCTTTGTATATAAAGAAGTCTATCAAATCCGGAAGTTTTTTGCATCTGAAGGCCAATAGGTAGGTTCGCAAGTTGTGAAGACATTCAGGTGGCTTTTATCGATACTTTTCTTGAGGTTTCGCCTTCTAGTTGTAATGAGACGTGAACCTCATTGCGTATGTTTGGCATTCCAATCACCTCCGGCTATAAACCTATTACCCAATGTTTTAAAGAACACCTGGAAGTCTACTTCTTTGGTTTCAGGGAATTTGTTCTATTTAGGCGGGCAGTAGACAGATGACAATGTGATGTGGCCCTGTTTGTCGTACACTATAACTGATGTGGCTTGTAATTTGTAAGTTCAATTTTCTGGTAATATTTGATGTTTAATACACCTTTTCATTATAATTGCAGTCCCTGCGTGTGCAGTGTTTTCAGGGTGATAAGTGGCATAGGTGCAATAACCGTCCATATTAAATGTAGTTTTATTTGTGAGATGTGCTTCTGATATTAATAGTATATCGAGAATATGTATATTCAGAAGAGTTTCTGTCTCGTGTTTTTTAGCTAGGAGGCCATTTGCATATCCGTTGCAATTTGGAGAGCCATTTGTTTTAGTGGACTAATTTGTTGACTATTGTGGTCAGGAGACCCATAAGATTGTTTAGGAGATTCAGCTTTTCCGTTTGCTTTGATAGAATTGTTTCCAGGTTACTTGTGGTGCCCACAGTGGCCTCAGCATACGTCTTGTTTAAACCTGACGGTATATTTTTCCAAGGCTTCGACGCTTGTTCATTATCATTTTTATTTACAACATTATTTTGATCCTGGTTGCCTTCTGCTGACGTCGTCGTCATTTATGACTGATGGGAACCGTCAAATGCACTTGCAAGCAATGGACCGAGCTCATCAAATTGGACAAATGGAACATGTATGGCTCAACTATTATGTAAATAAATACATTCTCAACTATTATTTAAGAAAATAAATAGTTAAGTACAAATTTAATAATAGAGTAATATTGTTTATTTTCTACCAGGTACGGGTATTTAGACTAATCACAGAGAACACTGTGGAAGAAAAGATTGTTGAGCGTGCTGAAGTGAAATTGAGATTAGACAAGTTAGTAATACAATCAGGCCGACTGGTGGATACAAAGAATCAACTCAACAAGGATGAAATGCTCAACATGATCAGACATGGTGCTAATCATGTGTTTTCATCAAAAGATTCTGAGATTACTGATGAAGATATTGACTCTATTCTGGCTAAAGGAGAAACCAAGGTGACAAGCAATTTATTCCCAATATTATTACTTTTACATTTGTCTTAGTACTAAACTTAAAATATGTTTAGACTGAAGAGCTGAAGCAAAAACTGGAGAGCCTTGGTGAATCTTCTTTAAGAGCTTTTTCTATGGATACCCCTGGGGCTACTACAGATTCTGTTTATCAATTTGAAGGTAAATTTCTTTTAAAGTAATAATAATAATAACGCACACACTCAACGTAGCCCCGCACTAGGGAAACCCTGTGTCGCGGGTACCATGGACACACACAGACAATCACATGACACCCAAACTCACGAGATAAATAAATGTAGGCAGTGTGGCATGTTAACGTGGCAGTCCGGCATGGTAGAGGCAGTTAAGTAGATTATAGATACCAGCAGCAGTAAAGCAGATTTATACCAATACATTAATACTCTACTACACTAAAGAAATAATACTCATACATTCTCTTATTCCCACACACACTCGGCTTTATACTATAAAAATGAGCAAAAAATGAGCACCTACCCGTTGACTTAAAAAATGAGCCTAATAATGAAACATTTGATCGTCGACTGAAAGACTTTGTTGGATAATGCGTATTATTCCACTGAAGAATATAGAGATATGACCTTGTAATGTATATTGTAATTTATTAGATTATTAGGTATAAATATTATTTTACAGAAATGAGTAAATTAAATAAACTTAATGCATACAATTATTATATTGACATAATTATTATTATGTTATATATGTGCGTTATTATTTCATATAACTACATTAACCATATCCAGTTCTTAGGTTTTCGCGATTGTTACACATAGGAAATGAAACTATTTTTCCGGATTTAAATCGCGTATATTTGTTTTTTCAAACAAACCGACGTTTCGGGCCCTTTACAGGTAACTTGATCACTGTTGACTGAGGTGGTACAGTCTTCAACCAGTTATGTCTAATATTAATGCAAACCACCCTTTTTTTTCACTATAGTTACAATAGTTATTAATTAAATACCTTATTTTTAATTTTACAAAGAAAACATTCCAATTTACGCTACATTAAGTTTTACAAATTATTTTATTGAATGAATTTTTATTAAGTTTAATTTAT